AGCTTCAGAATACCTCTCTGCCCTCCAGCCTGAGTTTATTTTTCAAGTTAGAGAACACTACCCAAGATCCAGAACAGGAATTACAAGTTTAGGCAATCGAAAATCCAATCGTTTTCGGTGTCCCGGAACCAAAGCTCGGCGGCCTGGACTTCCGGGGAGAGGGGGGAACGGGTGTGTGTTTGGACCAATCGATTGCGTAGGACTTGCGGAGTCCTACCGGACTCGGCACCCTAATCCAGTGCTGAGTTGACAACTTCGGGGTGTGGGGCTCTAGTGGCCCGCACTGGGGCCGCTCCGAAGGGGCTAAGCCGGCCACAGTTTCAGCCATGGTTGCGCCCGCCGTGTTCCGTGCTCTGCGCAAGAGCAAGACCCTTCGCTACGGAGTCCCCATGTTGGTGAGCGGCTGCGGCCCGAGCTGGGCGGGGCCTCCGGAGGGGGCGGGGTCACCTTCGCGGACTGGCGACTGCGTGCTTCCGTGGCGGACCTGTGACTTGCGGGTGCTGGGAAGGGACTGCTAGAGATGTGAGCTGTTAGATTTCTTCTAGTCCACACTCAAGTGTACCTTGGGTTTCCCTCTCTCCTTTTCATTCATTAATGTGCGTATCGTCACCATCCCCATTTTACAGTAAGTTTTCCTGGGGTTAAAGATGGAGGTTGGCAGAAGATCAATCAGTGTTGGCGCTCCAAAAACTATGTTCACTTGTTGTGTTGTTGACAGGGTAATTTGTTTTAGCACCCGCCGATATCATATTAAGGGAAATAAATCAAAGCTTTAAAAAATACTTTGGTGTGGTAATTGGCACGGGTGACGTTCCCAGCTTTTCTTATTTAAAACAGTACTAAAAGACTGGTTGATTGAAAATGTACTAGGTTTTTTAGTCATCTTGGATGTATTGGGATTTTGTATCCATCTTTAGGAAACTCTGCTTTAAGAGTTTTAGAATAAAAAAAAAGAATTTTAGTATAAGCATTGGATTTTATAAAATGACAACCATTCTTGTAGACAAAGCATGCATAAACTTTGTTTTCTGCAAATTCCTCTGCCATTCAGAAACACAGATTTTAGCCACTGACTTACAAAATCACCTTTCTGTCACTATTGTAAAACAATTTGACTTTCTTCCCTGTTAAAATCATAAAAGTCAAGAACTTTAAGAAAGGCAAAAACAAAACAAAAAGGCCAAAACTAAGAACCCCTCCACCCCACCCCTGAAAAACCTTCTGTGTAAACTAAGTTTCTTGATCTATTTAAAGACTCCTTCACAGTCACTTTTTAAAAGGTCAAATCAGGTGTTAGGAAGACATACTCTGGATCTATTTAGACAAAACTTTTAAACCTAATTTGTTTTCCAGTCCGTTACCCTTCCCCTAGTAAAACAAAGAGCATTTTCCGTGCCCAAGGAATCTGAAGAAAACTCCTCTGAGATTTGATTCTTTCTTTTTCTGTGTTATCACACCATAGCCAGGTGTGCCCTGGCAAATTAAGGAAGCCTCAAGCCTTGTACCATAAGCAACTTCTCCAGATGAAGTATTCATTATGACCTTTTACCTCATAGACGATTAAACAGTCATTCCTTTCTGTTTGTTACACACACACACACACACACTCACTCACTTCTAGCATGTTTATGTGAAATAGCATTCTTTTTAATAGATGAGTACTGTATTTACATCATTCCACCCCTCCCTTTCCCCCTCCAGTTTCTCCTGTGATCATCTTCTCCCTCAAATTCATGACTTCTTTTATTATCGTTATTACATGTTTTTTTATATATATATATATATATATATATATATATATATATATATATCACAATTACTGTTACCTGTATGTATAATGACAGTCTGATGAGTTTTTAGTGTTGGTCTCATGTAATCCAAAATAGCATTTTTTTAAAGTAGCTAAGAATATTTTGTATGTATAATTGTTAAATATAAACTTTTTATTGTGGCTACTATTTATCTAAAAATCATGGGGGTTAAGATAAAGACCCCTAAAACCCAAGAAGTGGTTCTAGACTACTAGAGAGGAAAGAGCAGGAGAGAAGAAAGCATCAAGTTAAGACAGTTCTTCTAAGTGAGCCTTGATCTCGAGAACACAGAGGTTTACATGTAATGCTGCTTTTGGATTTTTTTGTTTTGTTTTGCTCTTTACTCCCTCCCCCATGTTTGAACACATATCACAGATGCTTCCCTCATGTGTTGTCTTTTGAGTTATAGGATTGTTTTATTTTTCTTTTTGTGAGAATTTTTAAAGTTATTAACTGTGAAGTTTTGTTGCTTTTATGAACCTCAGATCTTAAATTTATATTTCATTTTTTATAATAGTAAATTACTTATGTTGTGCCTATGGGTTTCCTCAACCTCCAAGGAGGTGACCCCCAACTGCAAAAGCAAAAGTAAAAGCAACAGGTTTTTATTACTAAGAACTGAACTGGCTAGAACCTCACTCTATCAGAAGAGTAAGGTGCCCGCTTACAAATTGTGGAGTGTTTTTAAAGGAAAAGGGAATTTGAGACTGCTTAGATAGCCCATAAGGTTTCCAAGGTTACAGAGATTTTATAGAGTACAAAGTTTTTACAGGGTGGGATTGTTTAGCATACTTGCAAAGTTAGGGGGTTTTCTTTCTCTATGACTGGTGGGCTCAGTGGCCTTGTCCTTAAGATAATGGGGAGAATGTACTCTCCAGTCAGGGAGTTATCTATATCTATTGGCACAAGCACTTGTTCATTCTGGTTTTCCCTTCTTGCCATGAGTCCCGTCTCTCTTAGTTATTAATTTTCCCCTCACACTTAGTGATATAGGGATGAAACTTTTTTTCTCCCTAATGACTAAGCTTTTGCTTCTCTGACCTGAGAATTACAGCCAGTTCAGTTTCTGGTAAAATAGCAGTGGCAGTTTGAAATCTCTCTTAAGGGTTTCTACATACTGAGAAATGTAGCATACCCTGCAAGGCTCCCTTATCACTGATAAGAAAATAAAGGGCAATGTTTCCCAAATGTTCAACTTTGCAAAATCATAAAATTGAAAGAAATTATCTACAGACAAGGCCAGAGTTTCATTCCTAGGTTTATGCTATGTAGCTGTAGTATTAAGACCTTGACAGGTGAGAATGGTGGTTCCCAACTAAGAGCACTTGCTGCTCTTTCAGAAGACCAGAGCTTTCTCAGTGCCCACATCAGGCTGCTCATGACTGCCTGAAACTCCAGTTCCAGAGTGTCTGATGCCCTCTGCTCACCTCCACAGGCACCCACATGTACTTGCACATACAAAGATGCATGTACACATACGCATGCATGCATACATACACAAGTGATAAAATAATCTTACAAACAAAAACCTTTAAGCAAACAAATTTTACTGATTTTTCGTGAGCACGGAAGGCTCATGAATCAAGCTGCACTCAGAACCTGAAGAGGTTCAGATAGTTCTGTCCTGCTGCATTGACAGTGAATATTTATAGACAAAGAAGCTACAAAAATAACTTAATTGGCTAGACTTAGACATTTGCAGTTTTCTGACTTGCTCTAATCAGTTAGTTGGCCAATTGAGGTTTCTGTTTGTTTACCTTCTAAGATTATATAAAACCTCTAATGGAATTTAAGTACAGGGACAGCTTCACTCCAAACTTAACAGTAGTCTATCATTTAGTTGGGTGTGTTCTTGTCTCCTATTGAATTTGGAAACAGGATGATCAGAAGTTCAAGGTGACCCTCAGGTGATGGAAGAAATCATTCTGTAAATATGTTTCTCTTATTGGTTAATGAATAAAGCCTGTTGGCCAGTAGGAAAGCAAGATAGGCGGGACTAGGAGGCAAGGAGGATTCTGGGAGATGTAGTAGAGAGGAGTCAAGATGTAGGCCGTGATAGGAATAAGAGGTCCAGACAATGGTAAGGCCACGTGGAAAAACTTAGATTGATAGAAATGAGTTAATATTTAAGACAGAGCTAGCCAATAAGAAGCTCTAGCCAGTGGGCAACAGCTTTATAACTAAGAGAATCTCGATGTGTTATTTGGGTACTGATGCAGCTCTGGGACTAGGCTGGTGGGAAAGTGCAGGTAGCGCTCAGGTACACAGTAAGTTCAAGCCCATCTTGATGAATGAGACCCTGTGTCTTAGTTGGTGTTTCATGGCTGTGAAAAGAAACCATGATTACAGTAATGGGAAACACTGAATTGGGCTGGCTTACAGTTTGAGAGGTTAGTCCATTGTCATCATGGCAAGGGGCATAGGGCAAGCAGGCAGACATGCTACTGGAGAAAAAGTCTAGAGTTCTACATTGTATCTACAGACAGCAGGGATAGAGTCACCTGGCTTGGGCTTCTGATACCTCAGAGACTACCACCGGTGACATAGTTTCTCTATCAAGGCCACACCCGTCTCTGATGGCTAAGCATTCAAATATATGAGCTCATGGGGACCATTCTTATTCAAACCACAACACCCTGTCTCAAAAAACAGCAAACCAGAAAACTCAAACACATATACGGTGTCGATTTATACCCTTCAGTAATGATCTATTATAATTTTTCTAGGATAGTTTAGTAGCTGAGGTTTCACTTACTGTGTCTCAGTTGCTGACATTAAAAAAAAAAAAAAAAAAGAAAAGAAAATGAAAAAAAATCACATGGAAAATTCCAGATACTAATAATCCATAAGCTTTAAATAACATTTATTACAATATATTGTCACTGGTGTACTTTATTATTGTTACTAATCTTCTTGTGCCTGTTTTAAAAATTAAACTTTGATAATAGGTATTTATGTATAGGAAAATACATAGTGTACTTAGGGTTTAGTATTTGTCCAAGTTTCTGGTGTCCCTGTAATGCCTTTGAAGGCATCCCCACCACATCTACTTTTAAGTGATGAGTAATACTTTTCTAGGAAAAATACTCTAGGTTTTTTTATAGTCTGTCTTTAAACTCTGCTTAACTGAATGATCTAGGCCGAGGCTGTCCTTCTGTGTAACATAACTGTTTCTTTCCATTATTTCAGTTGCTGGTTGTAGGAGGTTCTTTTGGTCTTCGCGAATTTTCACAAATTCGTTATGATGCTGTGAAGATTAAGGTAAGAACTATAATTGGTATTTGACTTGTGTCTGAGGGTTATTTTTTTTTTTTTTAGGAGAATTACATTCTCAGTTTATTTAGCAATATTAATCTGTCTTGAAAACCTAGTAGATGATATTTGCACCCTCTTTTGTTTAAAATACCACTAATGAGTCCATGAAAGTGAATCATATAAAGCTTTGGTAACAGTTCTTTGTATTCACTAGGAAATTTGTATTATTATTATTTCTCCCCTGAAATATGACATGTAGTTGTTTTGAGGATTCATAATGAACTGAAGAACATGGATCAACAATTTTACTTCAGTTTATTTCTCTAATTATAAATTCACTATTTTGTTTTAATGCTAGTGATTCTTAATCCCCTTCTTATTAGCCTTTTCCAGGACACATTTCCAATAATCCTTTTACTTTCTGTCCTATTTTTTCCCACAATTTTCATATATAACAGCAACCTGTGATACTTGGCTGTGACATGAACTCTTGGTTATGATTCTGTTCTTGTTCCAGGCTTGGCAAGTGTAACCAAGGGTGCAAATGGGTTTCAACTCTAATTCTCCACCCTTGGAAACCCTCTTACTATAGTGGGATTTCTCTGTTGGGCCTAAACTGAAGATTTAATTGAATTTTTAGTTGATTTGATTTGATTTTTTTCTTGTTTTGTAAATTAGTTTGATATCATTGGATACCTTTTTAATCTTACTTTGTATGGAAAATAGAAGCACAGGTAGGTAGTTTATGGAAATGTTATACAATAGGATAGTATTTGCTAATAAGAAACCAATGGCCTGTGACCAATAGCATTGCTAATGCTGGAATCTTGGGCCCACATGTGTTAGGATTTTTGGATCTATTTGTCATTTGTCTATCTATACATCATTCTAATGGAATCCTGGGATTCCCCTTGGCTCATCACTGTGTTCATAGGCCCTGTTAAGTCATGCATATACAGCTAGTCAGGTAACAGGTATGAGCTTCAGTGGATCACCGTGGAACCCAAGTATGCCTTAGCTCACTCTTCATTCAGTCCACGGAAGAGGTTCTTTTGTTTTTCAAGTGTATTGCTTAGTAGTATTTAAGTATTTAGGGAATCTACGTGTCTCTGCTGGGGGCAGAAGGCCAGTGCTCAACACTGCACATGTTTCTTTCACAAGTCAATCAAGCTCCTGGGCCAGCATTTATTTTTACATGTAATTATGAAGATGAAATTCATACTCATCATACAAGCTTTGTGAGGATTAAACAAGATGGTGTATGTCAAGTGCCTGGGACACAAATGCTCGGTGTAAATAGGTGGCTATTAGCTGGAGTTGTGTATTAATTATCACTGTGGATAGAACACATTTTGACATATGCTTTAAATTGGCTGAACTGTTCCAGCTATCTTTCCTATGACTTTGTTTGTTTGAGACAGGGTCTCACTGTATCCCTGGATGACTTAGGACCAGGCTGACTACAAACTCACAGAGATCCACTTGCCTCTGCCTCTCAGTGCCAGCATTACAGGCATGTGACACCAGGCTTCAGCTCTCCTATGACCTTTAAAAGGAAAAAAATTAAAAATTCAAGTGAAAGAGGAATGTAAAAGAATTAAATGATGCATGTTTTCCCCCCTTTTCTACAGGTTGATCCTGAATTGGAAAAAAAATTGAAAGAGAATAAAATAACTTTAGAGTCAGAATATGAGGTATAGTATGTTAATATTCTATGTTCTTTAACAATCTCACTCATCATGACTGGTTGTGTTTCTCAAGATAAATCAGTAGTGGAAAAAAAAAAACTTAATTTGAATGTGTGACATTTAGAAAACTATCTAAAATCTGTCCCCAGAAGTGCTGGAGATTGCAGTTTTTCAGGCACACTTCACCAGTGGAGAATATTCCAAATCTGAGCCGGCACAGGATCTGTAAACTCTTTGTTGTTGTGTTTTGTAAAGGAGAATCTGGGGACAAGCTCTGTTGGTTCCTGGGCAAGGTAACTTGGTAGGCCTCCCCCTCCCACGGGGGTGTCATCAGGGCTTGGTTTTAAATTTGGTGTGGTGAGTCTGAAGTCAGTTCTATTCTTGAGCAACCTTGGCCCTTTAGTGTCTTAGCTGGATGTCAGGGAGCAACAGAGTACTGAGACGAGGCCTACACTCTGGGAGGGGCTGAGTATGGAACCCAGCTCCTGGCACATTTCCTCATGATGTCTCATTCAGTCCTGTGGCAGGTGGGTGTTAGGTGGAGGCTTGGGTGATGCCTAGCACATGTGCACAGCCTGGCGTTCAGCATGTTTTACAGATTTTCTACCAGGAGTCCTTCCTATCAATGTTCTCTAAAGACAACATGTTCCCATGACTCTGTTCTGTCAACCTTGCCTCTCATCTTAAAAATTATTTTAAATTCCCATGAGCACATAATACATTAATGTATCTGGATAACAGTCATATTTCTACTAATACCTTTTGCCAGAAATGGTGGCACATGTTTGATATTCCAGTACTTGGGGAGCTGGGGCACTAGGATTGCTGCTAGTTTAAAGCCAACTTAGGCTACATAGTTAGTTTAAGGCTAGCCCAGGCTATATAGATGGTATCTGGACAAAAACAAACATAAAGGTAACCAAACAGAAAGGCTTTTTACTACTTTTAGAAACTAAATGATCTGAGTTTAGATCATTTTATAACCTACTTGAAAATACTTACTTGCTAAATTGGTAGCATTTTGTACATTATATATACTTAATACATACTCCTGACTTTTTAAGAAACATATTTCATTTACTGCTTTCCTGTCATTTGGTCGGATCCTTGGACTGTCTGTTTGAGCAAGTAAGTTGTGCCGGCAATTGTGCTATGGACATTTTATCTGGGAATAGATTTTCCTTGTAGTTCTTTTAGAAACTATAGGAGTTAAGAGCTGAATATAGAATATTTTGTCTCACCTTTTAGCAATCACTTGTAAGAATCAATGCCAAGTTAGCCCATGCTATTTGCTAGATCGCAAAATTAGTCAGTAAAAGAATTGATACCTAGATGGAGACATGGAGGGAAGCAAAAATTACTTTCCCAATATTTGTGTTATAAACTGCCCATTGATCCTCACAACCCTTTCTCTCCCCTCTTTAGTTATTCTAGGACAGGGGCAGGTGTATAAAAGTGACGATCAGAGAGGATAAAGGATCTTTTCTTTCTGTAAGATTTATTTATATATTTTATGTATATGAGTGCTCTGTCTACAAGTACATCTTTATGCCAGAAGGTGGCATCAGTTCCCACTCTAGATGGTTGTGAGCCACCATGTGGTTGCTGGGAATTGAACTTAGAAAGAGCAACCAGTGCTCTTTACTTCTGAGCCATCTCTCCAGCCCCGGTAAAGGACCTTTTCTGCCTATCCCTTTTTTCTTGCCTTCTCCCTGTGCTCAAGACATTTGAGAGGACATGAAGTGAAGATGCTCCAAAGGGTAGTTGACAGTTCTGCTTACTGATGAGCATTCTCCTCAGGATGCCTATGGAGAGTGACTTCATTCTGAAGGCTAGAGTCATCTCTCAGGTGCACAATAAGGAGCTTTGATCCTTTTGTTGTAGCACAAAAAATAAAAACCCAGAGACTGATATTGGAGTTCAAGCTTCAAGCTGAAGATCAGATAAGCAAAGCAGCTGGCCACTAGCTCTTACCTCTACCTCAGACTGAAAGTGTGATCCGGCTAGCTGCATGAATCCTCAGACTGCAATTCTAGACTGCTGCCTCTCCTCAACATGCCTGGAGACTAAATCTTCACATGAATCCCTTTTCCTTTTATATCTCCCTAGTGCTGGGATTAAAGGCATGTGATCACAAGTGCTGAGGTTACTTTTGTGTGAGCTGTTTCTCTTTAGGACTGGATCAGTTTCGTGAAGCTCAGTGTGGCCTTGAACTAACAGAGATCCATCTGCTTGTCTCGTGAATACTGGCAGTAAAGGTGTGTGCCACCACTGCCTGGCACTATGACTTGTGTAGCTTTGCTTTCTGTACCCTTTCTCTCTTTTCGGCTGTGACCCACACCAGACTTTCAGCTGTTGCCGTGTTAGAGCAGCTTCACATTTACTCCTATTTTCCCAGCCTCTTCCCTTTCTTTGTGCTCTCAGAAGCCAGTGTAGACTCCTCTGTCACTAATAGTTTGTCATTATGGGGAAAGGTAGATGTGAAGTCTCTCTGAAGAAAACCTGGAAAGTTTTCACCCTTGGGAAGTTCTTGAGCTTGGTTTGGAGTTGATTTATTTGCTGGGTTTGTCCTGGAGCCTGGTGGGTTTTCCTTTATTGCTCAGCACTTAGTGATGTCTCAACCAAAGCCACTGGGTGTCGGTACTAATATGTTTAACTTCGTGGTCCTATAGAAAATAAAGAACTCCACTTTTGAAGACTGGAAGAATATTCGAGGACCAAGGCCTTGGGAAGATCCTGAACTCCTCCAAGGACGAAACCCAGAGACTCTTAAGTCTAAGGCAACCTGACTGTGCTTAGTTTTTCAATAAAATATTCTCAATGGGCCTGTACTGCGCTATGAAGAAGATTCCAGACCTGTGTAAACCTGGATGTGAGTAATGCGATGGCAGAAAATTTGGATTAGAAAGTCAAGTGTAAGTCTTTATGCTTTCCAGTCAGTCTGCCTGCAAATGAAAGTAGCAGTGTTGAACACACATCAGTAAAAATGTGACTACTGCTGGCATAACACGCCATGCATCCTCTTTTTCTATAAGCCACTAGTACAGTTTGCTACCTCGTTTTGCTTTCTGATGAAAATTATAGGCTTGGATCCAAACTTTCCAAATAAGATTGTGACTTCATATTAAACATATAAACGAGCAATCATAATCTAATAATGGTCTTGTCTTTTATTCCTAATAACTCATAAACCAGCCTTGAAACCGTTGAACTCATTAAGCCAATTATATAAATTACCTAATTCATGCTTGGTGCATGATGGTAAGAATTTCAGAGTTTTAGTCCATTTCAACAGTTTACTTTTAGTAATCTTAGAATGTTACTTAGTGGATAATGACAAACTGATTTCAAAGGTAGTGTCTTAGTTACTTATCTATTACTGTGATCGAACAACTTGACTAAAAGCAAATTGGAAAAGAAACGGTTTATTGCGCTTATACTTCCAGGCACTAGTCCATTAGTGAGGGAAGTCAGGGCAGGAACTCAAAGCAGGAGATGATGCAGGGGCCCTGGAGAAATACCATTTACTGGCTTGCTCCAATAGCTTACCCATCTTCCTTTGTTATACGTCCCAGGACCACTTAGGGGTAGCATCAAGCACAATGGGCTAGGTTTCCCCACATCCATCATCATTTAAGAAAATGACTTGCAGACTTACCTACATGCCAATTATTACAGAGGCATTTTTCCCAATTATAGTTCATTTTCCCCAGATGACCCTATTTGTGTCTAGTTGACATAAAAAACAACCATAATAATCTACCCCTTGTCAACTTGACACACAAATACAGCACTTATTAAGCCATAAATTTTCTTGTTCTTTCCATGGTGTCATGCGATTAATATGACAACTTTTAAAAATCCCAGTGTTTAAAAATTTCAACACTTGATGTGGGAACCTGGATGGAAAGAACATCAAGAGAAACACAGACAATAGAGGCCTGGCTTGTGAAGTTTCTCAGGGAAGTTTGAGAGTCTCTTAAAGACCATCAGGGCCATGTGATATTTTGAATTAAAAATCTGGATCTGGTCAGCTGGGCTTCTAATTAACAAGAGATCAGAACCATTTAAGTAAAATATTTGCTTTGCAAGGACAGTGGTTAAAGAATGAGCTGTGGTTAAGGTAGGATTTCTATTGGTGTAAAGAGACACCATGACCATGACATCTCTTCTAAAGGAAAACATTTAATTGAGGAGGCTCACTGACAGTTCAGAGGCTCAGTCCATTGTCATCATGGCAAAGAGCATGGCAGCATGCAGGCAGACACGGTGCTGGAGAAGGAGCTGAGAGTCCTACATCTTGCATGCAAGAGGATGTCGACTGAGACACTGGGTGGTATCCTAATCTCAAATCCTACCCCCAGAGTGACATATTTCCTCTTACAGGGCCATACCCACTCCCACAAAGCCATGCCTCCTAATAGTGTCACTCCCTATGAGCTTATGATAGCTGATTACATTCAAACTACCACAATCATTGATGCAAAATCTTCTGCAAAGTGTTTCCTCTCAGTCAGCACACAGAAGCCATGGTTCAGAAGGAGCTGAGGCTTCATCTCATGCTGGCAACTGAACTCAGTAGTGTAAGTCACCCAGGCTGTACTGGTTTTGAAGGCATGGAGAGGTCATGGAGCAGACCTGAGACTTGGCATTGTTTGGCAGGGCTGGAGTCCCTGAAGAGAGGTGATTTAGTGAAGATGGAGCCTCAGTTGCAATAGAAGGCCCAGGATTGAAGAGGTCATGGAGAGAAATCAAGGCGTGGCACCATGAGATAGGACTCATTTCTAACTTAATGATACTATACTAATCCCATTTGACATTTTTTTTCTCTTCTGGGGAGGGTTAAATTCAACTTTCTGCGATATTTAGCAATTTGACCACAGTAATTACTCTAAGAGAGGAAAACCTATGCAGACCCGATATTTACAATATTGTGAAAATATTTTTGTAACAAAGACCAGGAGTGTATTTGTTGTTTGACAGTGACATAGTATTTTAGTTAATAGAAGTAATGTATGATTGCCATATGCCTTAGTTATTATTCTATTGCACCATGACCAAGGCAGCTCTTATGAAAGAAAGCATGTTTAGGGGCTTGTTTACACTTTCAGACAGTTAGTCCATGATCATGGTACAAAGAAGACAGGTATGGTGGTGAGCAGTAAGTGGGAGTTTTACAGCCTGCTCTGTAGGCAGAGAGAGAGAGGGAGGGGGAGGGGGAGAGAGAGGGGGATGGGAAGAGGAAGGGAGGGAGAGGGAGGGAGGGAGAGAGAGGGAGAGGAAGGGAGAGGGAGGGGGGAGGGACAGAGGGGGGAGAGAGAGAGGGAGGGAGAGAGGGAGGGTATAGGCTTTGACACCTCCTAGTGACACACCTACTCCAACAAGGTCAAACCTCCTAATCTTTCCCTAGCAGCTCTACTCCCTGGTGAGTAAGTGTTCAAATATACGACCTTTGGGAACCATTCTCATTCAAACCACCACATTCCACTCCCTGGCCTTCATGGGCTTGTAGTCATACCACAGTATAGAATGCATTTATCCCAACTGCACCAGCATAGTCTACCAGCCTTAACACTATTCAAACATCCAAAGTTCAAAGTCTCTTCTGAGGCTCAGACAATTCGTTAACCGTAATCTCCTGTTTAAAAAAAATAAATAAATAAAAAAGCAGATCATGTGCTTCTCATACACAATGGCACAGCATATATATTATCATTCCAAAACAGAGGAAAGGGAACATAGTGAGGAAATACTGGACCACAGCAAGACCAAAGCCCAGCTAGACAAACTTGTTTTTTCTTTTATTACTGGACTATTATCTGACTCTTCTGCCTTTGCTGATTTAACCCCTCCCCACCCCCATGGCTCCACACCTGCAGCTTTCCTTGGTAAGTATTTCATAGCTCTGGTATCTCCAACATCTTGGGATCTCTAATGCAAGTTAGGCTTCACCTTCACAGCTTCATGCAATGGCCTCTAAAGGCCTTCATGCAGGAACGCCAAATCCTGGCCCAAGTGGCTTTCCTTAGCTGTGGAAAAGTTTCTACATCCATTTCCTGTGTCCCTCCTTGACTCTAAAGCCAGAACCACATGGCCGAAGCTACCAAGTTCTGCTTGCTGGACCTAGAAACTGGCTCCCTTCTTGAATTATGTTTGCATAAACTTTTCAGTGTAGTTTCTGCCTAGGAAAGCCTTTAGATGTTTCCTTTTACAGGTTGCAGGATTACCTGGGTGGGAGTCTTGCCTTCAGATTATCAATTTCTTTATTTCCATTTTGTATCAAGGTTTATTTTAATCTTTTTATCTCCTTGGGCTCCAACATTACATTGCCTAGTGATCCTTTTCTCTCATACTGTACATTTGTATTTCTCTTTTCCCTGACTATGCCCTGCCATTGTAGAACTGCTTAAAAGTAATCACTAATAAGCATGCAACACAGTCAATACTAGGTTGCCTTGAAATCTCCTCTGTGAAAGGCTTTAGTCCAAAACTTTTCAATTTGGCAGCAAGCATGTTTTCTTGCACAAGGGTAGAAAACAGTCACATTCTTTATCGAAACACCACAAGAATGGTCTCTACATCAGCTGCTAATATTCTTCTTTTCTGAAACCTCTTGAGTCAGGCTTCCATGATCCAAATTTCCCTTAGCACCACTGTCTTCCATACTACTACTAGGATGGCCAATTAAGGCCCAATTAAAATGATCAACTACATTCCTAGTCCAAAGTCCCAAAGTCTTCCATATTCCTACTAACAACAGCATGGTCAAACTTATCATATCAATACTTCAAGCTCTGGTACCAACCTCTCTCTTAGTTGCTATACATTTTGATCGACAGGCATCAGAGGGAGGGAGGGAGACAGAGGCAGACAGAGAGGGAGAGGGAGAGGGAGAGGGAGAGAGAGAGAGAGAGAGAGAGATTGAGCCTGTAGTGGACTTTTTGAAACCTCAAAGCCCATTTCTAGTGACATACCTCCTTCAACAAGGCTACACCTACTCCAACAAGACCATATCTCCTAATTCTGCCCAATCATTTCCACTTCCTGGTGACTTAAGTATTCAAATATATGAGCCTATGGGAGCCATTTTCATTCAAACCACCACACCATGTGTAAGAGTGACTGTGGAGGACAGGAAAGGGTATCAGATCCCCTGGAATTGGAGCTAAGCATCCATCCAACACAAGTGCTGGGAACTGAATTTGGGTCCTATGGAAAAGAAGTACTCTAAACCAATAAACCATCTCTCCAGATCTAATTGTGACATCTTTTAATCTCATGTATTATATCCAACATATGGGAAAGTTAGTAAGATAGCTAAGGGAATCTCTCCTGGAACCCTTGGAAAGCCAAACAACGCATAGGACCCCTTGCTTCAGGGCCACTCTCTAGCTCCCCACAAAACTAAGCCTGAAGTAGCTCCCTGGCAGAATTATTGCCTGCCCTGTGGAGCTCTGGGTTTCAGCCCCAGTGCTACCAAAAGCATGCAAGCAAACAACCAAAATACTAACCTTTCTGTGCTTTCTCAAACCACTCCTCCCCTCCACACTGTGGCTAGTAAGTCTTTTCATACCATCTTGGTACATGTATATGAGATGAGGGTGTCTATGCATCCAAAGCAAATTCTGAATGAGCGTCCATCCTAGCTCTACAGAGTATCCACACCAATTTTCCTGACTACTTACAAAGGGTCATTTAATGTTTAAAATACAAATGCACTTGTTTTTGTCTGTTCCTACTGCTCTGACAAAACACCTTAGATTGAATGACTTATAAACACGTTTATTTCTTCTAGTTATGGAGACTAAGGAGACTAAGATCTACATACAAGCAAAGTCTTTCTGTGTTCAGAGAAGAGGGATCTCGGTCTAAGATGGCACTTTGTTGCTGAAACCTTACATAGTGAGTAGATGGGACAAAAGCTGTGTCCTCAAATGGCAGAAGAGTTAGAAGAAAGGATTGTCAGTTCTATTCTTTTTTTTTTTTTTTTTTTTTTTTTTTTTTTTAGAAAAGGATGTTAATCCCATTCATAAGGCAGAACACTCATGATTTCCCAGAAGCCCCTACCTTTTAATACCACCAGATGGGAACTAAGCTTTGTATACAAACTTTAAAGAGATTCAGACTTTCTAGTCTTAACATTAACAGAAGAAAAAAGCACTCAAAGGGTCTAATCTTTTTGCGTCATAACATGACATTGTCATTTAAAAAGTTCATGCTTGAGAGTCATATGA